AACATTCCCTTTTTACCATTATTTTATAAATTATCTATGAAGAATAGATACTAAGGAAACTGTGTAAATTAATAGCAACAAAGCAAAATAAACCATCTTATGTTGGAAAAGCAAAACTTGATCCTTATACCCAAATCACTGCACTCCACTGCAGTAGGAGAGTCTCCCAGTCCCCAAAATTCAGAAGGAAAAAAAAAAAGATGGGAAAATAAATGAAGAACTACCTGCCTGACTGTGTCATATAGTCTGATAACTCAAGATTGGGAAGACTGGGATTCAAATTGCAAGGTGGCTATCACAGAATATGACCACCATTTATGATTTCCAATTCTGAGGGGAGAATTTTGAAATATTTGTTTTAATTTTTTGCACTTGCATTATCCAAACAGAAGAACAGTGTGCTACAAACACCATGGGTGATAACTAAAACAGCAAACTGCCCAGCACATATTTCTGGCCCTCCTCCCAATTTCATCAAATACTCTAATATGTTTCCTGTGTATTCAGAGGAGACACCCATGAGCAATGGGATAATCTTCAAACAAAGTTACAGAAATCTTTCCAGAGCTCTGAATCAAGAACTACTGCTGGGCTCAACCTTAACTTTACTCCAATATTAAAATATATCCTATTTCAAAAGCTTTCTCATAAGTGTTCATTTTATTCATTCTTTCAGGTTTTTTTCAGTTTCTCTGTATCATTTCTACCTGTGAACACTGCAGGGCCCTAAACTCAGATCTCTTCTCTATTTAAACTCACACATTAGATGATTTTACCTATTCTCAAGTTTTAACATATCACCTATATGCCAAAGATCCTATTTAGACCTTTCCTCCAAACTTTAGATTTACACTCAACTGTCCTTTTTACATCTTCAGTTGAATGTGTAACTTATCCAAAACCAAGTCCTGACTACCTCCACCTTAAAATAAATATGTACATGTGAGTATAATTATACACAGTAATGTCATATGCAACTACTATATATGTTAAATATATTGCATATTTAATTATACATTGTGCTTATTGTAGGGTGAAGAGGGTATAAATCAATTATCTAGAAAAATACCTTCCTCCTAGACTCCTCTTTTTTTCCCCGCCTATCTAGAATTTTTGCTTGGATCACTACAATAGGCTCCCATATAATCTCTTAGCTTCTATGCTTGGCTCCCATATAATCTCTTCTCCACACAATAGCATTGAACCTGTGAGTGAATATAGGTGGATCATGGCAATCCTTAAAAGGGTTGCCCTTGGCCTCCCATGTTAAACAGAATATAAGCTGAAATCCTTACAATGACTACAAGGCCTTCTTCTTCTGCCGCCCCTGAATAGAGTGACCCCTTATACACTTTACAGCTATACTGGCCCCTCTGCTGTTCCAAATATAAGCCAAGTATGTACCTATCTCAGGACCTTTTTTCACCTGTTCTCCCCCAAATACTCTTTTACCAGAAAACTATTTGGCTTGCTTCTTGACCTAATATCATGAGATAAAAACTGTCACATCTATTTTATAGATAAGGAACTGAAGTCTAGAGAAGTTATTTACCCTTGGTCAAATAGCAAACTAATTCTCCCTCTCTTTTATTCTTCTTGTTTTGCTACCAGGTATTAAACCCAGGGGGCTTAACCACTGAGCCACATCCCCAGCCCTCTTTATATTTTATTTACAGACAGCATCTCACTAAGTTGCGTAGAGCCTTGCTGAGTTATTGAGGCTGGCTATGAACTCATGATCCTCCTGCCTTGGCCTCTTGAGAAGATGGGATTATAGGCATGCACCATGATGCCTAGCTCTTTTATTCTTAAACACAAAAGTCAAAAACTATGCTAAATCTTTATTCCTGAACTAACCATTGTTATAAATTATTTTATAGTTTTATGTATATATATACACACACACATACAAATACATATAATATATACAATACAGATACACATATGCATACTGGATGTGACATTTACAGATAACATCTAAAGAAACAGAAGAAAAGTCAAACAAAATTTCTTATTAGGCATACCTTTGCAAAGTTGACTGAAAGCCCAGGAATCTCTGCTAATCCTCCACCCATCATAGATTTCTGAGCTATGATAACTCCAAAGGTAGGCAAACAGGAGAAATCAGAACTTCCTTCATAAACAAATTTCAAATCCTTTGGATCTTTGACAGATGCTCCCACTCCAAGAGCATACATAATTGTTTCCATTTCCGTGTAAGCAGAAGAAAATGAAGGGAGTTTATAGCCAATAGCTCCAGCCTATAGAAAAGTTGAAAAAATTATTTTTCATTGTATTTTTGTCAAATTTTTGAAATTTTAACTTTTAAAACTATTTTATTTTAAAACTATTAACTGTTTATATACCTAGCCTTGCCTTTGAACAGATGTTAATCAAATGTCAATGAATTTGATGGAACATAATTATTTCATTATATTTATTCATTATTCATTTCATTACATTTGATGTTTTACATAAAAACCAAGTAATGCCTAGAAAAAGACTTCATTTACAGATAAGTACTTTTTTATTGTTTGCTTCTTGCTAACACATATTATGTCTCATTTTGAATTTTCCTGTCTCTGACAGTGGACACTTTATTAATTCAGCAAATACTGGCTACCAAAATCCAAAAAAGAATGAAATCTGTTATAATTAGGGGATATTGAACTGTTTTACAAAATCAGCTGTATAAAATTCATGGTAGGGGCTGGTGCTGGAGCTCAGTGGTAGAGCACCTGCCTTGCACGGGTGAGGCACTGGGTTCAATCCTCAGCACCACATAAAAATGATAAATCAAGATATTGTGTCCATCTACAACTAAATATTTCTTTTAAAGAATTCACTATAAACAAATGAGCAAATCATAGCGTAATGCTTATAAATTAAATTGCTTAATAACATTTTCAGTTAAACTGAGATTTAACCTAAAGTTTCTTTCCAGGAATGTCTTTTGCCTAACTGGATGATAGATTTTTCAATTTACAGATAATATGCCTAACTACTATGTGAAGCACATATTATAAAAAAATGACGACCAATTTTTCAGTCACTTTTATCCTACAGCAGGAGTCAACAAACAAGGACTAGAAGTTTACAAGGGTTTTTACATTTTCAAAAGGTGGTTAAATATATATATATATATATATAGGATTTAGGGCCCTATTAAAACTCTCATGAAAAAGAAAAAAAATATATATATATATATATAGGGCTGGGATTGTGGCTCAGCGGTGGAGTGCTCGCCTAGCACATGTGAGACCCTGGGCTCAATCCTCAGCACCACATAAAAATGAATAAATAAATAAAGATATTGTGTCCAATTAAACAATAAATATTTTTTTAAAAAAAACTTATATAAATAAATAGAACTTGTGGTATAGCTCAGAGGTAGAATGCATGTTTGTGCTTAGCATGCACAAGGCCCTGGTTTCAATTCCAGTGCCAAAAAAGAAAGAAAAAGAAAAACCAGAATACTATGTGTTAAAAACAGTATGTGGCCTCTAACACTTAAAATATTTGCTCTAATATCTAAAATATTTGCTCTGTCCCCAAAAATTTTGCTGACCCCCTATTTTAAAGTAAAAATCCCAATAACACACTGCGAACACTCTCAGACTTAAAAATTAGATTCCCAGTGTTATCACTATTCTCTATTTTAAAGTATCTATGCCATGTTTCTCTTCAATATTAGGCAAAACTTTCGAGACTTAAAGAGAATAACTGCATCTGAAAAAAATAAAAGGGGCAGTGGGGGGAGGAAAAAAAAGAGAAGGAGGAAGGAAGGCCAAGTTTCAGAGGAGACAACATTCCCCACTTACAAATCCTGAAGTAGCTGTAGATGTTGCATGACTGGTATGATTTATTGAAACTCCTCCTTCTGCATCTATTTTATGTAAAACTTCAATCATACCTGCAACTGATTCTAAAATTAAGAAAAATAAAGAAAATGAAGCTTGGTTTAAAATGTAACTTTATGCAACAGTAAGCTAGATAACAGTTGCCAACTATAAAACCTCCTCATTATTCATGAACTGAATATATGATGTTAGACTTTTGTAGGAAAAAACTGTGAAAGACTTGGAAATACACCAAAAGCATAGCCTAATGTACTCTTCACAGACTCAGAGCTTTTCATTATCTTTCAGCTATTTTACGGTAAAGAAGAATGAGGAGGGGCTGAGGCTGTGGCTCAGTGGCAAAGTGCTTGCTTCACATGTGTGAGGCCCTGGGTTCAATCCTCAGAACCACATAAAAATAAACAAATAAAATAAAAGTATTGTGTTCAACTAAAAATATTAAAAAAAAAAAAAGAAGAATGAGGAGTGTAGGAGGAAGGTGCTTGTTCTAGATAACTGATTTATACCCTCTCTTCACCCTGCAATAAGTACAATGTGTAATTAAACCCATAAAGTAGGATACATGTTAGCAGATATGTAATCTCTGTGTGTCTAGTGGAAAGACAACTGATTTCCCTTCTCTCTCTACCATCAACCCTTCCTCTGGGATGGAAGAATGCTAATACCTCCACCCCAGGTCCAAAGATAGTTTTAAAAATTCTTGCCTGGCACAGTGGTACACACCTATAATCCCAGTGAGTTGGAAGTTTGAGGCAGAGGATCTCAAGTTCAAAGCTATCCTCGGCAACTTAGCAAGACTCTGTCCCAAAATCTTAAAAAAATGAAAAAGCAGAGGTGGGAGGGCCTGGTGGTAAATTACCCCTGGGTTCAAATCACCAAAAAATAAAAATAATAATAATAAAATACCTCCAGAGACAGAGGAAACCACCATTATGAACAGTGATTCTAGATAGAAAGTGGAAGTTGCTGTTCTGCGGTCTAAAAGGTTGTAAAGAAGTTCATGTATGTGGATATACGTATTAAAAATATTCTGAAGGCTCTGGGACATAGGTTTCCTACTAAACTCTGACAAAAATGAAAACCAAAACACAAAGTCTGAGATGACCAACATTACCGGCTACTCTAGGTCATGCTACTAAAGAAGTTTCTTGCCTAATCCTCTCCCTACATCCCCATTCAGCCTGTTGTCTTGAGGGAAGGCGATTTAATTGAAAAGTACCATGGTACAGGCTAAAAGCACTTCACTCAGAGATAGACAACCTGAATTAACTCTTAGCTCAAACAATGGTCAGTTTTGCTGGGACTTAGTTTAATCATCTCTAAACTGAAATTACTAAAATAGGTACTCTGGAAAGTCAACTCTTATCAGAAAAGATGACTTTTCATTATACTTTTTTTCATTACATCTTTTTTTAATAATAGTCTAATACTTTTGAGGCAAAAAGGCAGAGAAATGTTTTTAACTTTTCCTTTTTCTTTTGTTTATTTTCATTGATAAGCAACATTCACAGAACAAAATTTATCTCAAATATCAAAAATATAAAATTGCTACCATTTATGACATATCAATCATGCTATCATCTGACTGAGAAAAGGCATAATGAAAATTTCAAGAATGTACATGTAGGAAGGAAAGTATCAACAAGAAGCAAAAACCAAGCTGGGCACAGTGGTACATGCCTACAATCCCAGAAGCTTAAGAGGCTGAGGCAGGAAAATAGCTAGTTCAAAGCCAGCCTCAGCAAAAAGCAAGGCATTAAGCAACTGTTTCTAAATAAAATACAAAATAGGGCTGGGGATGTGGCTCAGTAGTCAAGCTACACATGGTGGTGCACCTGGAATCCCAGCAACTCAGAAGGCTGAGGCAGGAGGATTTCAAGTTTGATGCAACCTCAGCAACTTAGTGAGAGCCTCACTAGTAAGCCACTCAGTGAGACCCTGTCTCAAAAAATAAAAATAACTGTGGATGTAGCCCCATGGTAACGTAAGCCTGGATTCAACCCCCCAGTACAAAAAAAAAATAGTAAAAACCTGAGCAGTCATTTTTTCAGATATATTCTTCTATCAACTCGGAATATAAAATTATTGAGGAAAAAGGAAAAATGTTTTTCTATAAAATGATCCTGACTCATAATCTTACTCAGAAAACTCTTTTAAATTTCACGTCATATGCAAATGCAACTTTTACTAGGAAAAAATGTGAATTTTCTTTGCTCTCTCTTCCTGTGGGTATGTTGTAGGTGATTAAATAATTCAAGTTAATAAGCATTTATTAAATCCCTTCTGAGTTCAGCACTATGATAACACCAAGCACAAAAGAATATTATATATAGGACTGGGGTGCAGCTTAGTGGTAGAACACTGTCTAGCATGCCCAAAAACCTAGAATTACAAAAAAAAAAAAGAGAGAGACAGACAGAATTACATATGATACAATCTCTGCCTCAAAGAATTTGCCATGCAGTTAAGAAACCATATAATCATGGAAAAAAGCAATGGACAACATTACAATTAGATGTTAATTAGAAGTTCAAGTGGGTAGGAGTTCAACTAACAGAAAGATCAACGTAGCCCAGATTATCTGGAAAGGTTCTGCTAAGTTTCTAGGCTTGAGTATTTCTAAGAAAGCACTAAAATTATGTAGAGGTGATAAAAGGAAGACAAAGTATGATAGAAAAGGAGAAAAACAATAGCAAAAACAAAGCACTAAAGCAAAGCCTCTTTTATTCTCTAAATGAAAAAGAGCTAAGCCCAAGTAAACTAAGCTTAAATAAACTTTAGAGGAAATAGAGAAAAATGGGGTCAAACTAGGAGCATGTACCTAGATAAAGCAAGATTTTTTAAATGAACTATCAGCTAAAAAGTAGGTACATTTAACACAAATAAATAAATGCCTTGTGCCATCCATCCCCCTGCCACAAATAAGCCAAAAAACAAGACTATAAAAAAATGACAGTGGGACATAAATATCTTAAATATGAAGAGTTCTAATACCAACTATAGCAGAAAATATACTACACATGATAGAAGTGTTTAAGTCATCACATTTTAGAAGGTCACTCCATATAATAAGAGAGAATATTTGTTGCCTGTGGTTCCCCAACCAAGGTTAAATGGCTTGGGATTCTCTTTACCTTGGATATTCTGAGGCTTGCTGGCATTATCAAAGTCACAGATCTTCTCCCAGTTAGCCTTCACTGCCTCAGGAGTCATTGGCTGATTCTTCTGTCTTGCAATGGCTCCAAGGGTCCGCTCCCAGCGTACTAATTATAGGAAAAAAAAAAAAAAAAGAAAAACAAGTTACTGAGCACATAATTTAGGAGGAAAACAGAAAGTAAAATGTGTAAAAGCCCCTTAAATTTTTAACTTCAAGAAAAAGGAAATTCAGAAAAAAAGTGTTCCACTTTGTAGAATTTTACTATGAGCATTAAAATGCCTTTTTCCTAAAACACCCATCAGGAAAATGTCAACTAAAAAAAATTGTTTTGAATAAAAATTTTCTCCTTTGACTGTGCCAGGCACTACTAAAGGTAGAATCTCATGCTGAATCTGAAAACTAAATTACAAAATAATTGCACCAAAAGACTTACCTCATAACCACAGATGACTCAAGTAAAGATACGTAACTCTTCTTGTATATAAAATGAAGATTAACAGAATAGAACGTGTTGGATAGTAAATAGAAAACTAGTGGTGGTAACATGCCAAAGATTTTAGTTAACAAAAAATCAGTATATCAGATAGCCACATATAATTCTCTTTATCCTTCTTTTGCCCTCCTTCCATTTCGACAAGAAGTCAACTAAACTGCACAGATTTACAGAAAACATAAGTTCTGCATCAATTCCATTAGGAGAATTTTTAACATTGTTTCCTTTTAAAAATCCAGAAGAATAAATACACTGGCTACCTTATTTAAGCATAATGATCAGACTGTTTTTGATGACTGTCTCCCCCCACCACCCGAATTGAATCCAGAGCCTTATGCACACTAGGCAAGAGCTTTATCACTGTGTTATATCGTCAGCCCTTTTCAATTTTATTTTGAGACAGGGTTTTGCTAGGCTTCCCAGGCTGGCCTGAACTTGAAATTCTCTCAACTCAGGCTCTTGGGTACCTGGGATTACAAGGGGGCACTTGATAATTATTAAATTTAAGACTTAATAATTTAATAAGTACTGGGAAATCTAGAAATGCCTGCTTTTGAATTTTTCCTATTGATAGAACTTTTACTGAAGCACTCATTTTCCTATCATAAGTGGGTGTTTTTTCAAAAGACACTCAAATGCTTGAGGAACTTTAACAACTGGACAGAGCAGTCATTAATGCTAAAAATATTAATAATTTACAATACATTGTACCAACGCCCTCCAGTGACAGCAACCTTTTAAGTAACTCAATTAATCGTGTGATTAATTTTGATACCAACAGCCAACTGAAAACAAGGTATTAGAATTTTCACAATTTTTTAATTCTATAAAGCAACTATAATTAGGTTTAAGAGATGGGACAGAAGAGCACTGATGATACTAAATGAATTTACTATTGAAGAGAAGGAAAACAATTCCCATATCAGTTGCAATTTATTGACCAATGTTGCAAAGTTGTCCAATGTGATTTCTCACTCTCCCGATATTTTATGCTAGAGGAAGGAAATAATTACATGAAAGAATTGGAGAACTTGCTAGCTATGCCATCTAGAATAGGCTCCTCCCATGTTTTCAAAATCGTCTCTCCCTCCCACTCACTTCTCTGCTGAAACAGCAAGGGATGCCAGAGATGTTGGAGGATAAATACAAATATAAAGACAGACTTTGCTAAATGAAGGAATAAGACAGGAAAAAGTCCTAAATAAGGGTTGCCTACAGAATGAACAGACTTTCGAAAGTACAGAGCCCTGCAGGACAATTGTCATGTTTTAGAAGATCTGCTGTATAACAATATTCAAGTCTGAATATGTGTGCACTAAATCTAGTGATTAGGCACTTGACAATATGCTTATTACCTGGTTGTAATGGAAATGCAGATTTAAAGATATGGAAATAACCAATGGCAAACCAAAACTGAGAGACTTACATTTTCCAATCCATCCTGCTCCAACCTAGCAAAAAAGAGGGAGAAACATTATATTATATTATATAATGTATAATCACTAGTAGAATTTTTTAATTTAAAATAAAGGCAGCAATCTTACTAGGTATAATAGAATGCTAGATGACAATGAATAAAAATAATATGGCTCTACAAAAGTCTACTGGTCCCATGAATTTACACTGTTCCTAATATCAAAAGTAACACAATGTAGTAGGAAAAAAAAGACTATGAAGTAAGAGGCCAAGGCTTGATACCATATCTTCTACTGACTAGCTATGTAACCCTGGTCAAATCATTTGGCCTCCTGAAACACAAATTTCACCATCTGTAAAATAAGGATAACAACACATAGTTTATGTGGTTACTGTGAAATTTATACAATGTAAATTGTACACATTATAGTCTCAAAATAAATGTCCTTCTAGAAAGAACCAGTGAACTAAAAAAATAAATTAAATAAATTCAAAGCCCATAGAGTATTTGACTTAATGAATTACATATATTCATGTTAGTAAAACATCTTTATTTAGAGATAAGGCAAATCACCAAATACCAACTGCCACACAGAAAGATAAATTTTATATATCTATGTTTTTAGAGATTCAGGAAAATCCTAAAGGGAAAAAATGTCTGATATAAAGAAAATCCAGCATGTTTTCAAACACAACTACACTGTGGTAAAACTTCATATTCAAATTCTACATGCAGGTGGTAGGAAAAAAAATGTATAAGGAGACAGCACACATCTTGGTGGCTCTAGGCATAAGGATGTAACTTTTCATCATCTTTTGCCTTTATATTAATATGCCCATGTCTTTTATATATCTGATGAATCTTGATGTAATTAAGAGTACATAAATCAGCAGTGGTTTTGATAACAGGTAAGAGATATCACCTTTTATCATACTCTGGGAGTGATGTTAGCAACAAGTTCTTCTGAGATGCTAGAAACAACTGCACCTGCTGAACCAAAATCTTTATCTACCACTCTAGGTATCTATCAGAATTTTGCAAACAAAGTGGTAGTTTAAGTCAGAATATTACACCCACTTCTTATCATATTTTATCAATCAGGCATGTCAAATGTTCCTCACTAAAAATGTTCACAATAGAGTAAATGAAAATAACAACATAAAATTTTATCCTCAGCATGATCCTAATTGTCTACATGACTTTGGATGTGTGTTTAAAATACACATCTAAAAACAGACTGGAAGGAAATACATACAAATATAGTTCTCTCTGCGTAGTGATAATGTGGTGATTTTTATTTTCCTGTATATATGTTCCAATATAGTTAAACTTTTCAGAGAATATACATTTTTGTTTACAGAGTTAATATAATTTTCAAAGTTAAGTAATTTTTAAAATTCCTTAGATAAAAGAGGGTCAGGATAAATTTTAAACTCCAGATGGCTTGATATTATTAAGTTTTCCTATTCTGTAAAATTAGATTTGTAAATTTCCTTCCACTTCTGATTTTCACAATTCACATTCAATGGGTGTGATTAGAAAGGTGGAGGCATATATCTCTGTTTAGCTAAATGAAGGCTATTTTATTTTTCTCCTTTAATTTACTCATAAGCTTTTTATTCAAATGAAGCAGGCTAATAAGATAGTATTCCCTTCAAACTGAGCCAGATTCTTTTTCTACCAAAAAATGTTTTGGATGCCACAGTATTGTACATACCACAGGTTTATTATAGACAATCAAAAAATGGAAGGAAGAAGGTTCTAATATATAAAACTTCAGGCTAAGAAAAAAGATTAAACTCAAATGAGTAATCATAATACATACATCAGCTTAAAAAGGGAATGGGGAAAACAGAAAAGTTTTCTTTTAAAGTTTAAAACAAATAGTAAGTTGTATTTATTGATCTATCATAGCCAAACTAAATTCCTGATACAGATTAATAAATAAAATTCTGGGGAAGGCTGTTATATACTAGACACAATGTTAAAGGTTTACAATTATTTATAGTTAATTATAGTTTGGTTCTGGAATGTCCCCCAAAGGCTCATGTGTTAAAGACCTGGTCCCAGCTGGTGGTGCTATTGGGAGGTGGTGGGAACTTCAGGAAGTAGGGCCTAGTTGGAGGAAGTAGGTCACTGTGGGAACATCCTTGAAGAGTGTATCTTGCTCCTGGCCCCTTTTTCTCAGTTTCCCAGCTGCTATGAAGTGAACAACTCTATCCATCACATGCTCCCCATCATCATGTTCTGCCTTGTGAAAGGACCAAAGCAATAGGGCCAAATGACTATGGATTGAACCCTGAACCAAAATTAATCTTCCCTCCTTCAAGTTGACTTCTCAGGTATTTTGTCACAGTGGCAGAAAACTAACACAAGGTACCACAATAAACTTCAAGAAAACTAAAGCTCAGGAAGGTTAATTTATACAATATTCCAGCAAGTCAGTGATTACCAGAATAAGAATTCAAAATCTGATCCAGGTGACTCTAAACCTCAAGCTCTATCTTTCCATTTTAAGAAGCTGAATGTCTTCTTAAATCAATGAAATGTTCTATATTTGACTAAACAAATCATACTAGCCATATTTTCATTTGGTAAGACTATTAGAAATGGAGAACTATGAAAAAACATAATTTATAAAGCTGATGTTACTTTTTCCAAAAGGACACTTGTACCTTAGTAACATAAACATAATATTTTAAAATATTCAAGTTACGTCAACCAGTGCAGATTGTACAAATGTAAGCATTTGAAAAACACTAATTTTAAAATCCTTTTTTATATTTAATTACACAAATATTGTTTTAGGAAAAAACAGCAAGTTTCAGAATACCTCAAACAAACCACCATTTTCCTCACAACTCTCATGGCAAAGCCAAAGGATCAGCGGTGCCACATACTCAGGCTTTAAAGCTTCAAAAAGATCTAAAATAAATACAAAGAAATTACAAACAAGAATATGTATATTTTATCTGTCATTCTGCTTTGTGAAAATTTCTTACTTATGTAGGTAAAATTTCTTATGTTGATGATTCAGAGACTTTAAATAAACAAGAAAAAATATATACATATGTATGTAAACAAGAAAAAATATATATACATATGAATGTATACTCAAATATTAAAGGTTTTTAGAAGAACTTTTTCATCCCCATTGAGACATTTAGAAGAACTTTTAGAAGAACTTTTTCATCCCCATTGAGACATACCTGAAACATTATCAAGTTTCTTGATAAAACTGCAGTCATTAGACATACCTTTCCATGATGGGGAACATACTATTCTGGAGAAAATGTTAGAGCAGTCTCAGCAAAGACTGATGAGTAAAATTATATATATGAGAATCACAGGTACCATTCATTCCAAAAACTACGCCATTCTTCCAACTATTTAATGAGAATTTTGGAAAACTTCAAACATCCTTGACAATTATAATAGCAGAAAATGATTGAAAAAGACCCTAGAACCATCATGATGAGTAACAAAAACATAAGGATTGTTTTCTCATTGTAAACCTCTGTGAGCAGCTTCGTACAGCAAAAAAAGTACTACATAAGAAACACAAAGACCTAGAATTTAGTGCCGGCCCTACAGGTAAGCAACTTAAGAACTTGGGAAAATCACTCAATTTCCTTGTACCTGTGTCTTCATCTATAAATTGGTAATTAAAATGTTTTCCCTGACTATTCTACCAATTTGTTCCAATATTCCAATGAGATAAAACTGTATCTTGTGATATCTTTTTTTAAGCCAATTCTTTTTTTTTTTTTTTTAATTTTTTTCTAGTTCTCAATGGACCTTTATTTTTTACTTATTTATATGTGGTGCTGAGAACCAAACCCAGTGCCTCACACATGCTAGGCAAGTGCTCTACAACTGAGCCAAAACTCCAGCCCTTATGATATCTTATAGACCTTAAATCTTATCTAAGAAATCAAATAAATGCAGAAACCTGTGATATGATGTAATTTTATATTAACATAATAAAATAGCAAAGATGTACTTAAAGTCCTGTAAATTAAAGATCAGCTACAAAATCTTCACTTCATGGTCTCTAAAAGATCTCAAATCCACATGCAATCCAATGGCATAGTGTTCTCCACTTTCCATTATACACATATGGAGAAAATCAAAGGAAGACTCCATCCAACTTCTTGAACTACACAATAAAACAAATTCTTAACCTATATACCATTCATCTCAATATTTAACATTCCTCTAATTTCCCATGTAACAATTTGCAAAATTCAATATTAAAGGATTTTATATATAGGGATTCAGATATTTGAGGTGACTAACTTCATACTGAATGCAAAATGAATGTATCTATAACATCCAATTGAGAGCTGGGGCTGTGGCTCACTGGCAGAATGTTCATTGTGCATGTGTGAGGCACTGAGTTTGATCCTCAGCACCACATAAAAATAAATAAAAGGTATTGTATTCATCTACAAGTAAAAAAATATTTTTAAAAAATCCAACTGGGTATCAATTCTTAGGTGAAAAATGAACATAAGCTAATAGAAAAATACTTCTGCTTTATACCGGATTTTGCATATTATCATAATGTTATATGCCAATATTCTTGTGTTCCAGTTCATTCTCAATCTGCTAGGTAAGCCAGCATCTATTAAACTCAGTTTCGTAAAAAAAAAAAAAAAAAAAGCAAGAAGATAAACATAATGTCTAAGAAGGCCCATTAGCTAGTAAGATATAAAGTTATGTGAAATCAAAATTAGAACTTAGCCTCCTTTACCCAAGCAGTATTTATTCCACAATATTAGATATATAGCATTATAATGAAGCAAGTACTTTTTGACAATTTTGTCACCAGAAATGGTATTATTTTAAACCTTACTGAGACAGAAGAATAATCACAAGCAAAAAGTTCCACACTGCAAGGAAAGCAGGGTTGCTCTGAGAACACATTTAAACAACAGTTCTGATACCTAAATACTTAGAAGTAGGCCAGCATCGAGATGAGGTTCTGACCCTAAACTGTTCTACACTGAACCTTAACTTTCAAGGAAGACTTGGTTAAGCCTCCTGGTTACCAGCAATAGCAAAGACAAATCCTCTCTGAAGAAAAAATTGTCAATTTAAAGCAAAGAATAAACACAGATTAAAATCAAGTAAAGGGCTTGTGATTAAAAATCACCAAACACTCATGAAGGAAAACCATAATGAGTAAAAAATTTTTAAAATAAAAAACAGATTTAAACTCCAATGGAATGTTATAATTTAAAATATATTGTGTGTGTATGTATGTATGTATGTGTGTGTGCATATATATATATATATGCAGATTTAATGCAATCACAATCAAAATCCCAATGATATTCCTCAAAGAAACAGCAAAAGCAATCATGAAATTCATCTGGAAAAATAAGAGACCCAGAATAGTCAAAGCAATCCTTAACAAGGAGAGTGAAGTAGGGTGGCATCACAATACCAGACCTTAAACTAAACTACAGAGCAACAGTAACAAAAACAGCATGATATTGGTACCAAAATAGACTTGTAGAACAATGGTACAGAGACAAACACACATAAATACAGTTATCTCATACTAGACAAAGACATCAAAAATATACATTGGAGAAAAGACAGCCTCATCAACAAATGGTGCTGAGAAAAACTGGAAATCCATATGCAGCGAAATGAAGTTAAAGCCCTATCTCTCACCATGCACAACACTCAACTCAAAGTAGATCAAGGACCCAGGAATTAAACCAGAAACCCTATGCCTAATAGAATAAAAAGTAGGCCCAAATCTTCATCATATCAGATTAGGCCCCAATTTTCTTAAAAAGACTCATAAAATGCAAAAAATAAATTCAAGAATCAAAAAATAGGATGGATTCAAACTACAAGAGCTTCTTCTCAGCAAAAGAAACAATCAGTGAAATGAAGAGAGAGCTTGGAATGGGAGCAAACTTTTACCACACACACATCAAATAGAGCACTAATCTCCACGATATATAAAGAACTCAAAAAACTTAATACCAAAAAAAAAAAAAAACAAATAACCCAATCAATAAATGAGCTAAGGAACAGAACAGACAGTTCTCAGAAGAAGATATATAATCTATCAACAAATGCATGAAAATATGTTCAACTTCTCTAGCAATTAGAGACATGCAAATCAATATTCTAAGATTTCATCTCATTCCAGTCACAATGGCAGTTGTCAAGAATACAAGCAATAATAAGTGTTGGCGAGGTTGTAGGGAAAAGGCACACTCTTACACTGCTGGTGGGACTGCAAATTGGTACAACCACTCTGGAAACCAGTATGGAGATTCGCTGGAAAACTTGGAATGGAACCACCATTTGACCCAGCTATCCCACTCCTCGGGACTCCCAGCTATCCCACTCCAAGGGGCTTAAAAACAGCATACTAGAGTGATGCAGCCACATCAATGTTTATAGCAACACAATTCACATTAGCTAAATTGTGGAACCAACCTAGATGTCGTTCAATGGACGAATGGATAAAGAAACTGTTATAAACACAATAAAATATTACTCAGCATTAAAAGAGAACAAAATCATGGCAATTGCAGGTAAATGGATGGAGTTGGAGACTATAATGCTAAGTGAAGTTAGCCAATCCCAAAAAATCAAAGGCCAAATGTTTTCTCTGATAAGTGGGTGCTGATCCACAATGGGGAGGGGGGACAGCATGGGAAGAATGGAGGAATTTTTGGATAGAGCAAAGGGGAGGGAGGGGATAGGGAGGCAGCTTGGGAATAGGAAAGATGGTGGAATGAGATGGACATCATTACCCTAGGTACATATATGATGATGCAAATGGTATGACCTACTTTGTATGCAACCAGAGACATGAAAAACTGTGCTCCATTTGTGTACTATGAATCAAAATGCATTCTGCTGTCATTTGTAACTAGAACAAATAAATTAATTTTAAAAATGCAAAAAATAAAATACATTGTATTGAAAAGCTACCTAATGATTCAGAAAAAGAAATCCAAAGTTCTAAAACGAATGTTAGTATAAATGCAAAAAGTAAATGGTACGTAAAAATACTTGTGTCCCATGAAGTAACTAATTTTAAAATAATTCCACTTATCAACTGTTTCATACCATTTCACAAAAGCTTCTTTTAAATTATTATGGAGATTTTCTTTTCAGAAATATGTAAAGCCCAGGAATACTAAATATCATAAACATTTCTCCAATAATCAAATATTCTACTTATTAAATAACTAACTAAATAAACAGGCTTCCAAGCATACATTTTTTAATTTCATATTTTCAAAAAAATATGAAAAAGAGATTCACACTACCTGATTCTGAGAATAATATGAAAACTACAGTATTCAAAACATGATATTGGAAAAAGGACAGGCATATAGATCACTGGAACACAATGGAGTATCCAAGAAGACACACATATGTGGTCAATTGACTTTGCACTAAAGTATCAAGGCTATTCAAATCGAGAATGAGAAACCGTCTATAGAACAAAAGAACTATTTTCTTCAACAAATAAATAGATTTTAAAAAAGAAGAAAATGAACTATTGTATGTTAAATACCTACTGACATTCTTAAGACCTTTAGTGAAATATATCAACTCTAAAAATGTATCTTTTTAATGCTAAGTGAAGTTAGCCAATCCAAAAAAAAAAAAAACAAATGCCGAATGTTTTCTCTGGAATAGGGAGAGGGAGCACGGGATGAATACACGAACTCTAGATAGGGCAGAGGGATTGGAGAGGATGGGAGAGGGTATGGGATTAGAAATGATGGTGGAATGTGATGGTCATTATTATCCAAAGCACATGTATGACACAAATTGGTATGAATATACTTTGTATACAACCAGAAATACGAAAAACTGTGCTCTCTCTCTCTCTCTCTCTATATATATATATATACATATATATATGTAATAAGAAT